TTGTGTTAGTTAGCTTTCCATTCCTGTGACAGTGTACCTGAGAAAATCATCTTAAAACAGGGCAAGAGTTATCTTGGCTCATAGTTTCAGAGGTTTCAGTTCATGGTCACTTGGCCCTGTCACTTTAGTCCTGTGGGAGGCAGAACACCTCGGTGGAAGCACAGGACAAAAGAAACTGTGCTGTACATGATCAGGAAGCAGAGAGAGGGAGGAGACAGAGAAGCTGGGATTTCCATATACCTTTCAAGGTCATGCACCCAAAGGCCTACTTCCTCCAACTTGGCCGGCCTCCTAACATTTCTGCCACCTTTCTGTAGCCTGGTAAGCTATGAATCCATAAATGGATAAATCCATTCATGAGATCAGAGTCCTTGTGATCCAGTCACCTCTCTCCTAATGTTCTGACCCTGAACATTGTTGCTTTATACACAAAACCTTCAACATATCACCTTATGAGGGACCAAACCATAACCAGGGCGCTGAGATACAGATCCTTCAGGGGATGCAATAATATTGAAAAGTGTCATCGCGCCCTATCCCATTACCTACGTCTTCTTATCTTTCCCCCATGTCCAAAGCTAACTGCCATGCAGGGCACGGTGGCGCACGCCTATAACTGCAGGGGCTCGGAGGTTGAGGCAGGAGGATCCTGAGTTCCAGCCTCAGCAAAAACGAGTCACTAAGCAAGCAACTCAGTGAGACCCTGTCTCTAAATAAAATATAAAATAGGGCTGGGGATGTGGCTCAGTGGTCAAGTGCCCCTGAGTTCAAACCCTGGTAACCTCCCCCGACCCCCAAAACCAAAAAAGTTAACTGCCAGAAAGGTTCAGTTTTTCACCTGTGGGAAGCACCCCCTGCTTTCTTGTCTCCTCTGCTTCCTGTTAAGTCTCCCTCCCCAGCCCATCGAGAGCTTTCCAAGCACGGTACGAGGTATCTCTCAGCTGCCCCATTTCTAGACTCCAGGATTCCTGCAACAATGAATACCATCTTAACAATCACGATGGCCATGTGGCCATAGGAGCTGCCAGGGCTTCAGGTAGCACCCACCCTGGGGGAGATCTAGACCAACCAGCTCAGCTAGAAACATGGCTTGGCAGGACAGTCAGATCATGAGAAATCATTCCTAGCATCTGGCAGTACCTGGTCCTGGGAGGCAGCACTCATCCAGCATCTGGATGCCAGTGCGATAGGCAGAATAACGGCCCCTCCAGGATGTTCATGACCTAACCCCCAGAGACAGTGACAAGGTTACCTTACTTACACAGCAAAAGGGACTTTCCACATACGATTAAGGATCTTGAGATGGAAAAAGTGTTCTGTATTTTTTGGGCAAGTCCAGTGTAATTCCAGGGATCCTTACATGCTGAAGAGGGAAACAGGAGACTCAGAATTGGTATAGGGGAAGCGATGATGGAAACAGAGTTCAGAATGATGTACAGAGGCAACCATGAGCCAAGGCAGGTGTGGCCTCTTGAAGGCAGAAAAGACAAGGAAACAATTTTCCCCCTGGGTCCTCCAGAAGGAAGGCAGCTCTGACAACCCATTTCAAACTCTGATTTCTGGAACCATAAGATAATAAATTTGCATTGTTTGAAGTCACCATACTTGTTACAGCAGCAATAAGAAACTAATACAGCCAGCAATTGTTTTAGGACAGTTGGAAAACTTTGAGCATTGAATGTCACTTTTCTTTACACTTCTGCTCTCTAGGAATGTCCTTCCGCCTGCAGCAAGAAGGCAAATAGGTATTCTGGAACTGGAAGGACAGGAGGGCAGAACTTCCAGTAAAGGCCTTGGCATTCATATCTTTTATCCAATAGTTTTTATTTAAATACTTATTTTATAATTTTAAACATTTCTAAATCACAGCTGTAATTGGAATTCAATCATCCCAGGCAATAGAAATATCAACTTGGGAGACTCCTGAGAATGGCACAGTGTGGATTGGTAGAGTAAAAAAGAGACTGTCCAGTCCACCCATCCACTTGGCAGGTGAGGAGACTGTGGCTGCAGTGAGGGTGGGTGTCTGGGAATGGGAAGGATGAATGGGCTCCAGTGGCTGGTGTTGGAGACACCTCCTGGGCACCTCCTGGCCCCGGCCTGGTCCTGCCCATCAAGGCTGTTGTTGGTACTGGCTCTCGGTGGCCGTGTAGAAATCATCCAGCACACTCTGGATATATTCAAAGGTGGGCCGCTCTTCCGGGCGGTTTTTCCAGCAGCGGGTCATGATGTTGTAGAGCTCCTCGGGGCAGTGCTCGGGTCGAGGCATCCGGTACCCGTGCTCCAGCGCCCTGATCACCTCTGGGTTTGACATTCCTGGGAAGGAGCCGGGGAGTTAGAAAGGGAGGGATTGGGAAGTGGGAGCCCAGGGTGGACAGATACTGTGGCCACCCCAACAACCACGGCTCCCCATCTCCCCTTGCAGGCTGAGCCCCTCCCACTGAGAAAGCCAGACGTTCCCTTTGCCAGCTTTCCTTGTGGCTAGGGCCTGGGACCCAGGAAAGGACAAGGGGAGCTGAGGGGGAGATGTTCTCCTTCCTGATTGAGTGAGGCATGGCGCACACCCCTTCCTTTCTTCCTTTGGACACTGGGAGATGACGAAATACTTGGAGCTGTAGCAACAAACTTACCCACATAGGGAACACCATCAACTAACTCAGCGTCCTGACAGCTGTTGGGCTGCTGAACTAACCGGCCACCATGGCCTGACTTCTTTCAATGGGGAATAATGACTTGCCTCTTGTTTCAGAAACACTTTGTGTATTATTTTTGTTATTTGCTGCCTAATGCATTCAAATGGATACAGGGCTCTATAACCCATTGCCCTGGATAACTAGTGTTCTCACAAAACAAAAGTCAGATGGCCAGATTCAAGGTCATCTTATGAGTGGGACGATTTCCTTGTTCAATTTAGGTTTACATTAGTTACATATTAGAACAACTGTTAAATGCCTGTGATTCCCTGATTTTATTTATTTATTTTGGTCCTGGGGATTGAACCCAGGTGTACTTTATCATGGCTACATCCTCAGCCCTTTTTATTTTTTAATTTTGAGGCAGGATCTTGGTGAGTTGCTGAGGCTGGCCTCAAACTTGCAATCCCCCTGCCTCAGCCTCTGGAGCTGCTGGGGTTACAAGTGTGTGCCACTGTAC